ATAAGACCAATAAGGCCAAGGGCTTATTTCGGGGCGCAAAACAAAATAAGACCCTGTCTTATTTTCGGAGAAACACTGTTCCAAACTTCTATAAGAGTTAAGGATATAAAATTTTTCATCCAGAAAAAAAAATACAAAACAGATTCAAAGGCACTATAACAAGTTGCAGAAAGAGAGGAGTTACCTAAGTACTTGAATTCATTCTTATCTGCTGGAGGACTATAAGGAACATCTGTATATTTTACACGCTTGTATGTATATTTCTTCTCTGAAGGCTCTTCGTATGATCTTTTGTATGATCTTGTATCACTTGACTCAGATGTATCCTTGTTATGTGTATAATTGTTGTCCTTTTCACCAAAGTCTTAAGAGAAAAAAGAAAATTATACAAATATCAAATTGAAACGTTCATACTGAAGAACATCACTGGAGTTCCTCGTGTAAACATTTTAATTGGTTTAATTCTTACATCCATGTGCAAGTCTCATTTTTTTAAAGAAAAAATTCTAAATGTGAAAAATAACTCCCATATACAGTATTAAGAGATAATCCTTTGTCTTTATCAATTTATTAATTCAAAGGTGAAAGATAACACAGATAATATTCATAATAGAAATAGAAAAAAATATGCAGAAGTTTCCATGCCTAACTTGTAACTAAAAGATAGGATTTGACTACCAATAATAATTTGAACACTAACATCAGAAAGCAGCATTGCAGCTAGTGCAAGCAATTTCATCACTAGAACCATATTTAATTTACCTATTTATTTTGACACTGAATTGATACGATTGCAATTGTCTGATAAAAAGAGTACACATTTTATTCGTTATCCAAGAATATGTTTTTGGGGTGTTTTAGATCAGCTAAACAGAACCTGCTGTAGAAATGGCTGGAAATTCCAATGATTATGAAACCTAAAACGCATTGATGTCTTTAAAGATTATTTATATAAAGTGATTTTTGCTTTCATAGAGCCTGGACTCCCTTGGTTTTTGGAGGAGCTTTGAGAGATGAAATGGTGGTAGAAATGCTAAGAGTATTATTGGTGGAAGCCAGAGTGTAAACTTGACCATGGAAGAGAAAGAAGCTTTGTGAAGGGTTACTTCATGGCAATCCAATCTTCTGCATCAATAGATTACCAGCCTATCGATTCAATCACTGCTGTCTAAGGAGGGACTACTAAGAATATCTGCAAGGCCAATGTAAGCATTATTTTATGCATCTGTTGGAAAAAGTAATTGGAATCACTTTGAGATGAATGGTTAACAGCTTAGATCCCAGGGAGGTGTTTTAAGACATTTTCTACCTCTATTATCTGTGAAGAATTTGATCCCCTCAGTCCTGATAGAGTAGACATGTCCTTGGGATTGTGTGATCACTTTGTGTTTTTCACCTATGCCTCCTAGCTGGACAAGCTTCCCCCACCAAAGATGACACACGGTTGGGTCCATACAACAGTGATGCATGTGAGAGGGACTGGTTCCACCAACTTTGAAGGAGATTGTGGTCCAGCCTTTCCTCAAGGAACTATTGTTCAATTTAGCAGGATCCAGCACCCATCCATTTTCATCCAATTTTCTTAGGGAGGGCTGCAGAGAGGCGATTGCATATCTTTCTTGCTATAGTTATTTCTCAGCTTCTTTTATGTTGTTCAAATTTTTCATATTAGTAACAACCGTAATATAAACTTCATTGGAAAAAGTCCAGATTTTAGAGTAATGGGATATTTGCTCCATACTTGGGACATGGACTGTCAAAAGTTCAAAGGCAAAAACCTAGAAGAGGAGGAATTACCCCATTCTTGTTGTCTGTGCCAAATAAAAAAATCAAAAAAATATAGATTTAGCAGATTTGTTATCTCATTATTGTTTTCTCAAAAACTGCAGTGTTTAGTGAGCCTCCTGTCAGCACTATAAGGTAGACCAGTTTAGGGAACAGGCACCATATGAAACAGGCACCACTTATTGGTATATGGTACAATAACAGAAACTTTAAATCCTGACAAATATTCTTCTTATGCCAAAGACAATAAACATGGGTCAATTTTTTTCCCTCCCTCTTCCCTCTAACTGGGTTAAGCTGATCCTTACACAACAGCTGTTACATTTCTTCAATGCCATTGCCATACTTGTCTATTTCTATTCTAACTTCTCCAGCTGTGTGTTTCCTCATTAAGAGAGGGAAATTATCACTACAGCATCACATTTTCCAGACCACTTTTGCTATTAGAAAGGAAGGCGTGATTGGAAACCTCTTATTCTTTCAGCTGTAACTCTTTATTTTTGTCAATTCCATCATTTCTCTTTTGAAAAGCAAGGTAACTTTTAAGACTTATTAATGATTGCAATAATAATTTTGATTTAAAACAACAACCAAACTGCTGGTATCAAAAAATAGATAGACTGAAATTATTTTCTGGAGATACCACCTGTTCATTGGAGTTGTGAATTTCATTTGAATATACAGCTCATCCTACTTCACTTTTTACTACATCTAGCATAGTGTCTTTAATTATCAAAAAGCTATTTCTATATTTCTGCTATTCAAATTTAGAAAGTTGCATAGTATATACCTCTTGAACAAGTTGATGATCCTGTTGCCTCTTCATTTATAAAAGCCCAAGCTTCTTTCTTTGTTGCAAACTTCTTGAAGCTGGCACACTGATATTTATGAACTTGTTCGTTACATTCATCCCTGTTAAAATACAGTGAGAAAAGGGCAGCATATTGTTTAGATCAGTGTTTCTCAACCTTGGCAACTTGAAGGTGTCCGGACTTCAACTCCCAGAATTCCCCAGCCAGCGAATGCTGGCTGGGGAATTCTGGGAGTTG